AACATTTAAAAAAGAAAATTATAAAAACCATTTTAAAGTATTAAATGAATATTAAATAAATTTCTTAAAAACTATTACAAAAAAAAAAAAAAAAAAAAAAAAAAAAAGAAATCCACAAATATGATAAAAAAAAAAAAACAAAAATTATAAAAAAAATTAAAATCTCAAATTCAAATGAATTATTAAAATTATTTTATTATTCATATTTTTGGAATTATTTTGGAGAACTATTTATTTTTTAGGATTATTTATCAAACTCCTTTTAGTTTTAATTTATGCATATATATATTTCACTCTTAGAATATTCCCTAAAATATTTTTCTTAAAAATATTTATTAAATTCTGTTTTTCCTTTTTTCTTCTTTTTTAAATTAGATTTAAAATGAAAGAGGTTGTATATATTTTTTTTCTTTTTATGTTTTTTTTTCTTCTGAATTTAGCTGAAGAGCTTTTTTTAGCTTGTTCTGAATAAAATCTATAATTTTTGTTTTATATAAGTTTTCATCAATAGTTAATTCTATTATTTCATTATTAAATGAATTATCTTTAAAATCTAAAATATTGAAATCAAATATTTTTTGTGAATATTCTTGATTGAAATCATAAAAATCTTCGTATCTTGTAAAAGGGATTACGTTTTTAAACATAGTCTTCGCATTTTTACTTTGTATTCTTTTTAATGTTAATTTATTTTTTGTAAGATAATTAAAATCAAATAAATCGCTTTCTGCTGGAAGTAATGCAGAATATATATATATTGTATCAAAGACTTTTCTAGTATCATTATAAAAATTTTCTTTTAATTCTTGATTTATATAAGAAAAATTATTAAATGGATCATAAAATATTTTATCATTTTTTATTTCGAAATTTATAAAAATTCCTTTATTATATGGTGGAATAACATATTTTTTATTTATAAATTCAAATGTATAAAGATTTTTCATATTATATGCTACTATATTTTTAGTATCTTCTTTTAGATATTTAGATAAATCTGTTTTTAAAAAATTGAAATATTCATTCTGAATTTCACTTAGTTTTTCTTCTTTTATATTATTTTTTAATTCAAAGAATGGATTTATTAAAATGGGTTCGAATGAAAAATTTAAATGGTTATGTATATATAAATTTTCTACCCTTTTGTTATTTAAATTTTTTTTTTTTTGTTTATATTTTTTTCTTAAATTATTTAAAAGAAAATCCATGGTGTCTTTTTCATATATACACTTACTGCTAGTACATATATATTGAGTTAAGTGTTTCATAAATATTTTTTCACTTATAGAAGTAAATATAGAAAAAGAATTGAAATTAATGGAGTTTTTTTTATTATTATTATTTTTATTATTAAATATAGGGTTGTGCTGTTTTTCCTCAGACTTTTCAATATGAAACAATTTAAGAAAATTAGTTGAATATAGTTCATTTTTTTTCTCTGATTTTTCTTCATTTTGATAATTTTCTTTGTTTATTTTTTCTTCAAAAATGTAAGATTTATTATCCTTTTTTATGTTTTTCATATCTTTGATTTCAGAACTCTTCTTTTTTATTTTATTCTTTGCATTTCTACTTATAACTTGTAAAAAATTGATTTTGCTTGTATAAAAAATTGGTACATAATTATACACTTTTTTACTTTGATTTATTATCATATTATTTATAGATATATAGAATGGCAAGGTAGAATGATCAAAAAACTCGTCTTTTTGTAAAAAGGGAAAAAAAGAGTATTCAATTTCAATTCTATTAATTCTATAATAATTAATATTATTTTTTAAATAATTCAATACGTTTAAGTATTGAAAAGGAAAATCTTCACTATTTTTAAATTTTTTAAAATAATCAATCTGTATTTCTAATTTTAAATTATATTTTTTATTATCATTTAAGAAAAAATTAAAGAAAATATAAATAAAATGTGGTTTGTTATGACTACAATTAATCTTAATATATTTATTTAAGTAATCTGACTTATTATTCTCATTATAAATTAAATTAATATCAGGACTCATTTTAGATATGTTTTTTTTTTTGCATAATAATTTATATAAAGGGTTAGAATGAATTCCAATAAATAATTCAGTTAACACCACTGGAGTTTCAAATTCTATAATCCCTTTTTTAGATAGTAATAAAATATAATTATTTTCTTTAATAATTTTATTTATCAAAAATGCATATTCCTCTTTTTCTTGTGGTGTATTATTCTCAATGTTTAATAATTTCATTCTTTTAAATCGTTCATGTGCTCTTATTCTACTATGTAAAACTTGTTCATTTAAGTAGATTTTTCCTTTTTCATTAAAATTTAAATTATCATCTATTATTTTTCCTTTTTGATTTTCAAACGATTTTAGATCATACAAATCATTATAAATATAAAAATTTTCATTAAAATATATTTTTTTTAAGTAATCATCATTATACTTATTAATAACGTTTTCATTATAATTATTGTTATTATTTTTTAAAGTATCATTGTAACTTTTTATATTAATTATATTTTTTAAAATACCGTAATTCCATACACCTTTTAAAATAAAATTTGCCCTTATATTGGTGTTTAAATAGTTAAAAAGGATATTTTTATTTATATAATTATTATTATAACATACATCTAACTGAAATAAAAAATTCAAAAGCATCTTCTTATGATATTTGTAAATAAAAACTACATTTTTACAAATACCATTGTAATCTATTTGTAATTTATAAATATTTTTACTATAATTATAATCCTTATATTTTTTTAAATTACTTAAAACATTTGTGGAAAGCATAAATAATTTTGATTTATTTGAGTTTAATTTTTTCCATTCTTTATATATAATATTATCAGATACTTTTATACTTTCATTATCCTTTTTATTCATATATAATAAGTTATCTTTTTCATGGTTTTTATTAAATTCTCCATTGTAATTAATATGTGAATTATTATCATACTGTGAATTATTGTCATTAGAGTTTATAGCTTTTTTTAAATCAAATATTAATTCAGAATTTTCAATTGAGTGAAAAAATACACAACCAAAAGTATAATTGGTATTTTTTTTTTTTTTTTTTTTTTTGAATAGTAATCTATTCAATGTTTGTGATTTTAAGTTATTTTTTATTATTTGTAAAAAACTTTTTTTTTTTTTTTCTCTTGTACATATTCCTACATTTAAATTTTTGTTGTTTTTAAAAACTTCATCAAAATTATTTTGCATACCTATATTTAATTTTTTTAAAATAATACTAGAAGTATTTAAACTAATTTCATTTTCTATTTTTTTTAAAATTTTTAAGTATTCTGAATCTTCATTAGATCTCATAATATACTTCAATAGTAAATTATTGTTATTGATAAAATAAAATGAATTATTGAAATTTATATCATCATTATTATCATTGTTATTCTCATATTCATCTTGTCTATCATAAATGTGTTTACCTTCTTTGTTATCTTTTTTTTTATCTATATTTTCATAATTTTCTTCAAAAATGTAATTCTTTTCTTTGATTAAGTTATGCTTTTCTATATCATTACTTTTTTTATCAATATAACTATTAGAACTTTTTAAAAATATATAATTAGAATAAGAATTATCCCATGCATGTTTAAAAATTTGATTAAAATTTATTTCATCTATTGCTAAAGATAATGGTGATAAAAAAGATAAATTTCTGATATCACCTAGATTTTCTCCTAAATATAAACCTTTAATTTTATATTTGTTATTATTATTAGTAAGATTGTTCGAGTTACTTAAAATATTTGTTTTACTTTTATCAATAAAATATGAAGAATAAAATTTTTTAGAATTCTTTATTTGGCTATCTGTTTTTGTAAAAAAAGAAAATGTGTCTAATAAAAAATGAAAGAATTTGTAAAATATGTTATACTTTTTATTATTTCCTTTTTCTTTTTTATCTTTATTTATTATTTCTTCTTTAATTGTAGTATAAAAAGGATTTGTATGTAGGTAAATATATTTTATTTGATCTTCTTCATCGCATCTTTCTTTTTTTTTTGTAATTTTTTTTTCATTTTCATTTTGATCATCTTCAATATTTATATTGTGACAATCTAATCTATCACAACTGGAACAATATGGAGATGAAAGTTTTTTATTTATAACATTATTAGATGATATGTAAATGTTATCTCTAAAATTTTCAACAAAAAAATCAGCTAAAGACGGATGGATAATTAAATTACATAATATTTCTGAATATATAAAAATAAATAAACTTATTAATATAAATTTAAAAAATAACATTTTAAAAAAAAAATCATGTTATTTCTTATATACTTTTTCTTCTTTTTTAAAGGAAAAGTGATGAAATTGAAATGTTTTTTCAATTTTTATAAATACAATATATTATTAGATACTCATTTTTTGTAAATACTTATTATTAAGAATTTATATTTATAAAAAGTTTTTATATATTAGTTTTTTATATTTTTTCTGATATATACAAATTCTCAGCTTTTATTAAACAAATAGAATATTAAAATGTAAGAAAAAAAAAAAAAAAAAAAAAAAAAAATTATATAGTTTATTTTCTATTAAGAATAAGAAAAATGTAGTGAAAAAAAAGAGAAATTTTTACGCATTAAAACTTTTTTTTTTTTTTTTTTTAGATTTTTTTTTTTTTTTTTATTATAGCGAATAATTAAAGTAATTAAGTGAATGCTTTGTTCTAAATTTTCTTAATATACATATTAATTAAAATTTTATATATTGAAGAATTTAATATATTTAATTATTACTTTCATTATTTATAAATAATTATATAATTTTGTATTTTTTTTTATTATATTTTTTAAAATTATATTTATATTTGAAAAAACTATTATAATTTTTTTTTTTTTTATATATTTGAAGACAACATTTTTATAAATAAAAATGATTGTGTTATATTTTTGTTTTAAATTTTGACACAAATGTTTGAAATTTCTTTTATTTAATTTAAATTAATTAAAAATAAATTATTACCTAAAATGTATTCTTCATAATTACTTTAATAAGATTGTAATGTAATGCTTTTATTTCATTTTATTTTACTATTTTCTTCTTTTTATATTAATTAATGAAGGTATATTATAAATGAATTTATATATATAAAATTATGTTATAATTCATTGACATATAGTAAAAAAAAAAAAAAAGAAATTCATTGAGAGAAAAATGCTAAAAGAAGAAAATGTAAAAATTAATTTATGTAAAGAAAAAAATTAAGATAAATTGTAAGTTAACAATTAGTGTGAGGGAATTTACGATAAATTATATAAAAGATATATATATATATATATAGTTTTTTTTATTTATATATAAATTTTCATAAATTGTTATGTTTATTATAAAATATTATTGAAAAAATATAATGTAGTAATATCTACATTTTTTTTTGATTCAATAGTAGTTTAACCAAGTTGTATGTGTAAAGAAATATATATGAAATTATACATGAAAGATTTTGAAAATAATTTTTATAAAAATTTTAAAAATTTCATACTATTTTTATTATAGGGAAAAAAAAAAAAAAAAATATAATATAAATAAAATAAATTTAAGTAAATATATGAGAATTAAAAAATAAAAAAGGAATTCTTTTAATTTATATAAATTTGGTTTCAAAAACAAGATTTTTTATACTAATAAATGTAAACAAGGGTAACTTATTTTTTATATATTACCCTTATAGATTTAAATTAAAGCACATTTTCACAAAAAAAGAGAATTATGAAAAAGGGAAATTTAAACTATAAAAAATGAAATATAATAAAAAGTAATACAACAAATATTTCCATAAAATAAATAATTTTTTTTATAAGAATAAAATACAAAACAAAGAATATACATCCACACGGTTACACACACACACACACACACACACAAAAAAAAAAAAAAAAAAAAAAAGAAAAGAATTAAATATCAAATAAGAAAACATATTTAATAAATTTTGTATTTTTCTATTTAATTATCAATTAAAAAATCAATGAACTTTTATTAAGAGAAAATGTTGTGTATATATTTCTTATCTATTTTTTATTAAATGGTTCATTTTTTTTTTTTTTCAAAATTTATTATTTTATATTTTTAAATTTTTCATGTTCTTTTTATTTTTGGAAAATAAAAAGAGTATGTAAAACTTTCTTCTGTTTGAATATATCTAATTACTTTTTGTATAATTTTTGAAGGTTCTTACAAATTTTTTTTAGTACTTAGTACATTTAAATTGGTATTATAATAAACCAATTGTTTTAAAATTATATTTGTCCTATAATTCTTGGATGTTTTAATTGATTATAAATAAGACAAATTGCAATACAAAGAGAAATCAATCCAATAAGTAGATACAGAATACCTATTGATTGAGCTTTTTCATTAATAAGAACAGAACCTTCTGCTATAATAAAATATTTCTTTCCATTAAATTCATTAACAGGAAAATTATTCTTTATATTTACATAAAAAGGTAGCTTGACTTCTGATTTTATTTTGGCATACTTTTTTCGGAATTCTGATAAAGCAGCTGTTTTCATCCACACAATAAAATGAGAATTCTCTACACCATATCCGTTTTCTTCATTCATATTTAAAGTTGTTATATATTTTTTATCCATTAACCAGAAATCCACATTTTCTTTATGTGCATTCATGTCACTTTCTGATGGATTTTTAAACTTGTTATAGTCACTATACCATGTAATTGCTTTTTTCGATTCATCTATTTCTATCATTTCTTTCAAATCGTTATCTTTGTATATGAAAAATGTATCATTAAATACGCTTCTAGCTATCAAACCACAAGGATGTAATACTTTACCATTTTTATTTTGAGTAATAGGGGTACATTGAGATATGTCGCTAGTTTTCGTATATATTTTTCCCTGTATAAATAAAAGTTTTTTTTTTTTTTTTTTTTTTTTTTTCACAAAATATTTAATTTTATTTTAAAATATAAATTATAAAAATAAATAAGAAAATTAAAATATTTAGTGATATAAGAATAAAATTAAGTGTATTAAATAAAAAAAAAAAAAAAAAACCAAAAATGGAAAAATGTAGATACAAATAATTTGTAAAAAAAATAAAAATTTCAAATATTTTATATACCATTAATTGATTGTGAGATTTAGATATAAGATATTTTTTATGATTTTGATGAAAATTATATAATTCATAATAAATGTAAGAATTTTTTCTAAATGGTCTTTTTGGTCCATAACAATAATTTTCATTTATTTCTAAAATCAACGATTCATCTTTATAATTTTCATAGGATATCTTACATTCTTTTCTGGTTGTAGATAAAATAATAAATATGCAACCAACTACTATAAATATTATAGATATACATAAGTAAGTTATAATTAAGCACATGGGTGTCCAGTAATGTTGCCATGATTTTAACTCTTGTTGTTTAAATTTTTCGATAATAGAAGTTTTTTTCCTTTCCTTTAAATCAAAGTAATTTATTTTTTTTTTTTTTTCTTCTATTTCTTCTATTTCTTCTATTTCTTCTTCTTTTTTTTTTTTTTTTTCTTCTTCTTCTTCTAATATTTTCATTTTGTATTTTGCTAACATATTTTTTTTATTTTTCATAATAGATGCTTTATTTGTAACATTATTTATATATTTAAAAGGATTATTCATATTATTTGAATTGTTTCTTCTGTCTTCAAAATAATTTATATTGTTACCACTCGCTAGCACATCTTTATTATATCCTAATAATTTTAATTCATAAGATTTTTGCATATCCTTATTTTCAAATATATCTTTTTCTTCATCTGTTATTTCTTTTTTTTTTTTTTTTCTTGTTGAGTTGTTCTTTTTTATATTATCTTTTTTTATTTTAAGTTTTTCATCTATTTTCATTTCATTATTTTCATCTTCCTTTTCGATATCATCTTTTTCTTTTATAAATTTTATACTTTCTCTTCTTAGATTATCATTTTTTTGTGATTCTTTCTTATCTTTTTTTTTTTTAGAATTATTTCTAAATTCTTTTGATTCTTCCTTTTTTCTACTTTCATCTCTTTTTACTTTTGCTTCTACATTCTTCTTTATATCTCCTACATCTCTAAATACATTTATAGGTTTTAATTTCTTTCCTTCTTTTTTAATATCATTAGAATTATTCATTATAATTTTTTGAAAGAACTCTTTTGTATTTGAGTGTTATTATTTATTTATTTTTTATTTTTTTTTTTTTTATTATTCTTACATAAGAAAAATTAAAAACTTTTAATTATAACATTGATGTATTTTAGCTTTTGTATATATCATTATATATATGGAAATGAAAAAAAAAAAAAAATTTTATCTTATAAAAATTATTAATAAAAAAAGAACAAATAACATTAGAAATAAGAAAATATATAAATGAAAAACGAATAAAAATAAAGAGAAAAAGAAAACAAAAAGAATTAAAACATTTATATTTATATATATTTTTAATTAGACGGCTAAAAGAAAAACCGTTAGTAATAACTAAAAAAATCTCTTATCATTTTTAATGAAAAAATTATATAATGGATAAAAACATGAGAGAAAAAAATAAAAATAAATAATAATACATGAAATGATTAATAAAAAAAAAAGGTTTTCAATGTAATATAATATATAATAATAATAATAATAATAATAATAATAATAATAATAATAATAATAATAATAATAATAATAATAATAATTAAAATAGTTTTAATTTTAAAATAACTATTTAATATCAACAACTGATTTATATCTATATTTACAAAAATTAAAAAAAAAAAACTTATTTTTTATCAGTGAAAACATATTTAAATAATAACTTATTATTATATATAATATCCTAAATATATTATTAATTACATAAAATATATTACTTAAAATGTTTATATATATATATATATATTAATTATCTTTATTTTTTCTATATTTTTTAATGTTCTAATATACTTTTGTTCTTTTGTTCTATATATAAATATTTTTTTTTTCTAATTTATAAATAAGCTAATAAATTTTCCATTTAATAAAACAACATAATAAGTATTTTCTTCTTATTACCATTCTAATTAATACACATATTCTCCTAATAATTTAAAAATTTAATAAGAATATCAAGATTTTATTATATATATGCTATGTGTGCAAAATTACACTAAAATATAAATTCATATAATAATTTTTTGTTATGTAAAAAAAAAAAAAAAAAAAAAGTCAAAATTATTACTTCAAATAAATGTATTATTTTTTTGTATATAAAATAATACATTTTGAAACAATTGGAAACATATTTAAGATTTAAATTTGCATAATTTGAAAAAACATTTAACTTACGTATTATTTTAATGTAAGAGAAAAAATAAATGCTCAGAATTATTTTTATAAAATACTAAAAGTATTTTTTTTTTTTTTTTTTTTTTTTATTAATTAATAGTAAAAAAAAAATTTTAAATAAAAATTCTAAATTACTCTTTATAGACATTTTAATTTTTTTAACAGATTGGTATATTAACAATAAAATAAAAGTGAATCATTTCAAATTCATGAAATAGATTATTAACAAAATTTTATATTTTTTTTTAATCTATTTTTTTTTCTTTTTTTTTTTTTTTTTTTGATTATTCAAGATTTTTTTTATTACACTACTTTTATTATTATTAATTTTATTTTTAGTATTTCATTTTATTTTGCCTTTTTTTTTATTGTTTTCTAATTTTCAAGAGTAATTAAGTATTATTATTATATAGAATATATATATAAAAAAAAAACTTTTAAAATTATATTTTAAGTTTACTTTTCACTGTCATTAAAAAAAAAATAAAATAAAATAAAATAAAATAATTGAAATAAAATTCTTTTTTTAAAAAGTTTTTTTTTTTTTTTTTTACTTTTTATAAATCATAGTCTAATATAATTAAGCTTAACATTTGATGAAAAATAAAAAAAAAAAAAAAAAAACTTTTTTTCTTTTTTTTTTTTTAAACATACACCTAATCACATGCAAAATCATTTTTTTTCTTTTTTGAATTATAAAATATGTGTAGATATATAAGTACATTTAAAAAAAAAAAAAAAAAAAAAAAAAAAAAAAAATGATTTACATATGTAAAAAGATAAATTAAAAACATATATATATATATAGATATATATAGAAGTATTTAATTTGTTATTTTATTAAAATATTGTATAGTTATCTCCCTATCTTAAACAAAATATTAAATGTTTTATTTTAGTAAAATTCCATCAAATTTTGTTTGAAACCATTTCATTGCATCTTCTTTTGTAACTTTATGAGTTTTAGAGATTCTTGATCTTTTCCTTCTTCTTCTTGTAACTCTATAACCAGGTCTTGATAGATGAACATAAAAATCCATACCATAAATACCAGTAGAAGGATCATATTTAATTCCTAAATCAATGTGCTCTTGAATACCAAAACCAAAATTTCCTGTATCTGAGAAGTTTTTTCTTCTTAATTCATATTCTTTTACTTTTAATCCCTTTTCTAATATTTCTAAAGCTTTTTTCCCTCTAACTGTTACATAACAAGATATTTTTTCATTTCTTCTTACTCCAAATGATCTAATTGTAAATCTACATTTACCAAAAATTGGTTTCTGCTCAGTTAATTGTTCTAATACTCTTGCAGCTCTTGTTAATCTATCTCCTGACTAAAAATTTAGAAAATTTTAAATATCAAAAAAAATATGGAAAAATAAAATATTTAAAAAATTTCATATTTTCTTAAGCATATATATGTATATTATCATATGTTTGTATTAAATATTTTACTAAAAAGAATATTTACAATAAATTATAAAAAATGTTTGATAATTTATATGAGTTTCCTTCTTTTTTTTTTTTTTTCTTTTTATAAAAAATATTGTGATATATATGTGTTAAATAAAATAATGTTCTTATATTTATAAATATATATAATATTCTATATTTATAAATTATATAATATTTTATATTTCTATATATATATATAATATTCTATATTTATAAATTATATAATATTTTATATTTCTATATATATATATATAATATTCTATATTTCTCTCTCTATATATATATATATTTAAAATAATATTTGATAATTTTCTTACTTCTCCAACACAAATATTGAGAACCAATTTGTTAACTTTAATTTCTCTCATAACATTTTCTTCTCTTTTTTCCATTTTTTCTTAAGATTATTAAATAAAAATTATTAAAAATTATTTTTTTTTTTTTTTTTAAAAATATGGAATAAAATAGATGAATTAAAATTTCCTAAGAAAGTGTAACTTTTTAAATATAATTTATAGCTTTTTATAATCCTATTTTTTTTTTTTCTTTTTTTTAGTAATTTTTATACAACATTATTCTATTATAAATTCACCTATTCCTTTTTCCTTAAAATAAATAAGATTTTGGATATTTAATATAAAAATAAAAAAAAATAAAAAAAAAAATAAAAAAAATGTATATATATGAATTATTTCATTACATAAAAATACATAAATACAAAAAAACTTAGGATTTGAGGAAAAATACAATCACAAAAAATTATTAAAAATAATTTTTTTTTTTTTTTTTATTTATACTTTTGTACATTCTTTTGTTCCATATATATATTTATAAAATAATTAAAAATGTTTTAAAAAAAAAAGTGAAAAAAAAAAAAAAAAATAGAAAAAAGAAAAACTAAAAATTTTAGTGGGGAGAGGGGTGAATCAGTCACATACATTTAGAGCACTACTATGAAAAAAAAAAAAAAAAAAAAAATTTGTACATTTTTAAACATATAAATATGATGTTTTTTATTTAAAGCATATATAAAAAACATTCATAAGTGAATATATGAAATTTATTACTAATATAAATTTTAATGTATTTTTCATACATATATGCATTTATATATATATTTATTTTTATTAAAAAAAAAAAAAAAAATGAGAAAGAATATTTAAAAAAAATTTTGAAATAGAACTTAAAATTGTTGAAAAAAAAAAAAATTCCAAATTTTAATATTTTTTATTATATAATTTTATTTTATTTTTTTTTTTTTTATTAAATTTTGTTGTATGAAGTTTAAAAATGGAGAAAAAATTACTTCCACATCATAAATATAGTTATATTCCAAAACAAAACAAAAAACTCATATATGAATATTTATTCAAAGGTAGCATAATTATATAAATTTTATATATTTTACTTTTTTGATTTATACATATATATATATATATACATATACATATATATATATATATATATATATATATATATATATATATATATATATATATATATATATATTATAAAATTATTTATAATAAAAATTGAATGAGAAAATTTTAAATTGTGAATATAATAAGAAAAGAATATATATTTTTTTTTTTTTTTTTTAATGTGTATATATCTATATATTTTATTTTTTACAATTTTTAGAGGGTGTTATAGTAGTAGAAAAAGATGCAAAGATACCACGTCATCCTCATTTAAATATTCCCAATTTGCATATAATGATGACATTAAAATCATTGAAAAGTAGAAATTATGTTGAAGAAAAATATAACTGGAAACATCAATATTTTATATTAAATAATGAAGGTATTATTTATATAATATTTTGTTAATACATTTTATTAATTTTAAATAATTTAATATTTATATATATCACATTATGATTTTATTTTATAATTTTGTTAAGGTATTGAATATTTAAGAGAATTTTTGCATTTACCTCCATCTATATTTCCTGCAACTTTATCAAAAAAAACAGTCAATAGAGCACCAAAAATTGATGAAGAAATTACAAGAGAAATCAGACAACCAATGGGAAGAGGAAGACCTTATGATAGAAGAAATCTTGAATAAGTTTTAATTATAATTATTTTAATTTATTATTTTTTTTTTTTTTTTATAATTTTTTTTTTTTATTATTATTTACACATTTTCATAAAAAAAGCTTTATATTTAAAAGTATCACTTGATTTTTAAAGAAAACAGTATAAATATAAAGTTTACAAAAATTTTTAATTACACAAGAAAAAAAGATAAAATAAATTAAATTGTAATGAATTAAGATAAACGAATAATTTACTATTTATTATAGGAAGACAATAAAAAAAATAATATTTTTAAATTATTAGAATTTTAATATATTATATATCTTTTAATCACATATATGTAGAAACAAAAAAAAAAAAAAAAAAAAAAAAAAAAAAAAAAAAAAAAAAAAAAAAAAGAAAAAAAAGAAATAGGTAAAAAATGAAAGTAAATAAAAAATGAAAGAAAATAAAAAATGAAAGAAATAGGTAAAAAATGAAAGTAAATAAAAAATGAAAGAAAATAAAAAATAAATATATAAAAGAATATTTAAATGTATTCATATATGAATAATATATATAAAATTACAACTTTACATTTGTTACTTAAATATATGAACATATTAAAAAAAAAAATATTATTAAAAAATATTTTGATTTAAAGTAGTATTCATTTATAATAGAAATAAAAAATTTTATAAATTTATGATTTACTAATCTAAAAAAAACAATTAAAAAATTTTTATATTAAAAAAAAAAAAAAAAAAAAAAAATCAATATATATATATATATGTAGGTAAAAATTTTATTCAAAGTAATTACTAAAAAAAGAAATAGAACATATTTTTTTTTTTATTTAAAAATTTTATATAATTATTAATAAAATAATATTATTGATTTCTTATTATAGAAAATAAAATTTCATATTGATAATCATTATATATACATTTTTTAATTTAGTTTGCTTTTTTTTACATAATTTTTTTTCTTTTTTATTATTTCATAGTTACTTTTTTTTTTTTTTTTTTTTTTTTTTTTTTTTTTTTTTTTTTTTTTTTCTTTTCTTCTGTATTTTCTTCCGTTTTTGTATCTAAAGTAATTTTTCCGGAAAGTTTATCTTCTCTTTTTTTTTTTCTTTTGAGATATTTATTATCTATCATTGTTTTAATTTTAGATTGAATAATTTTATAATTTTCTTTTTTCTTTTCTATATATTCTTTAAAAAAAGAGGGTAATTCAATATCATAGAATTTCATAAGTGAGTTTTTAGTTTTTTCTGAAAATTCTTTTCTTTGTTTTTTATAAAGAGAGTTTTCACTAATAATTTTTTGTCTCATAGTATTATAGTTAACTGATTCTAAATATGTTTTTTCATATTCTTTTTCATTAAAATTAGAATAATAATCATGTGCTGTTTTATTAAACATAATATATAAGTAATCAGGTCTGATTCCTTCCATGAAATCTCTATTTTTAATTTGACTTTTAATTGTTTCTAATTTTAAAAATGCATTATCTCTTTTCAATTTGTTATCACATTTTTCTATATTTAAAAAATCAAAAAACATTCTTAATATAGAGGGGTGAATTCCTTGATTATTTATTTCTCTGTTTACTTTTAGTATGGTATTAGGTAAAGTGGCTTCATCATCTTCTAAAATTCTTGTAACTCTATCATGATCGTCTATGGGTGTTTCAGGTGAGACTTCTTTTAAATTCCTTATAGCCATCCATTCTTTCCACAATAGTTCTTTTTCATACATAAATATTTGTGTGTAAGATGGCATATAAAATCTCATTTTATATTCCAAATTATAACAAAAATCATCATAAGATATTTCATATTTATTTGTAAATAATTTACTAATTAATAATCTGGGTGTTAAAGAATAACAACATAAAGGTTTAAATGGATCACATATTTTTCCAATTAATTTTAATAATTCATATTTAACTGGATCAATTAAACCAAAAGGTAATTCGTAACCTTTTAAATATTCTGACTTAATTTTATCTTTTAAAATAATATATGGTTCCTTTTGAATATCATAATCTGGTATTTTATAAGGATATTCATTAATTAACTCTTCTATAGATTTGTATTTTGGAGATGATTTAAAATCTTCTTTATATGATTTATTTTTTTCATTTTCTTCCTTTTTTCTTTTATTTATTATAATTTTTGTCTTTAATTGGTTACTTTTTTTTTGAGCCGGACGAGATACATATATACGATTAGAATAATCTTTTTTATTTGAATAATTATTTTGAATATAAAAGGAGTTACTTAAATTATTTTCTAAAGTAATTGTAAATATTGTTAATATTATAAAGATTAATATTTTCATATTTATTTATTTTTTAAAAATAATTAAATCAAGAAAATTTAAATCCACTTTTTTTTTTTTTTTTTTTTTTTTTTCCAATTTACTCATTTGAAATAACATACTTTTTTATTCTTTTTCTTTTTTCCTTTCCATTTTAACCCTTATATAGACAAAAAAACAAAATATATAAAAATATAAAAATTTTAAAAGTATCAAGAAGATACAAAATTTGAAAATTTCTAAAATATTTATTTTTTTATATATTTTATTTTTTTATGATATATATTATTTTTTTTTTTTTGTTTTGTTTTTTTTATTTTATTTTATTTAATTTTGACTCATTTATTTTTATTTTATTGTTATTATTTTATTTATTTTTTTTTTTTTTTTTTAATTTTCTTAATTTTTTTT